TGTCTGGAAGGCAGAGGAAATTTATCATCACGAAGAAAGAAATTCAAGGGCGATAATTGATAACAAGTTTGAGTTTTCCTCTGGCCTGTTCTACCCGTTTATTGACATAAAAAGCTTCACATGCCCATTGAGAGTCTGTGGGTTCAATCAATCCTCGAGATAAAAGCTGAGTACATTCTTATTGGGCAAGACTGAGATGTTCTAGTAACATGCCGGAATGACTAGCTTTAGTGGGATTGATATCTTCGCTCTTGATGAATGGAAGACGGATAAAGAATTCTGAATTCTTCCATAATGGATGAGCACATTTAGTGAGAAAATCAGCATGAGAATCTGCGCAAGAACAAGAAATAAGCTGGGTCTTGATCTGCTCAATAGGATTGCCTTTAATCTGGAATAAATTAGGTTGTGTGGTCCAGGATTGGAAAAACATCTTGTACCGAACACCATCAGGGAGGATTCTAAGTTTATTAAGTTTAGAATAAACATCAAAACCTAGAACCATGTCTTTGCCAGGTAGATCGGAACCAAGAACTTTATGAAAAGTGAAATAGCCTGGGAAAATTTGGATTTTAATGGGTTTGCTGATCAGATGAGTAGTGAAAGTCTCACTATTAGCCATGTAGAAGATCTCCTGATGAGGTTTCCACTGAGAGGTTGGGAGGATCTTAGGGTTGATAATGGTACGAGTAGCACCTGTATCAAAAAATGCTATGACTGAAATGGGCTTGGAGTATTTGGTGGGAAAGATCTGAACTTTTGCCGTAGGTATGTGACATGAGAAGGCTAATGATGGAAGGGATTGTAGTGCTTGTTGGATATGGTAGAAATAGTGACAATCATCTAAATCAGAGTACTCAGTATCAGTGGCTGCAAACTGGAAAATAGTGTCTGAAGTGGGTTCATCATCCATGGAAAACCAACTTTCAACATCATCATCAGAAAAATTGATATCTGTGAGCTGAGAAAGTTATTGCATCATTTTGACTGACTGCTTGGGTTTGTTTGGACAATTTTTGGCAAAATGACCTGGGCGGTTGCACAAATAACACTGATTAGACCGTTTGCCTTTGCGTTTCCTTTTTCGAAGAAACTTGCGGTTTTTGAAATGTCGAAATTTGCATCGAGCCGGAACATTAGGTGGAGAAAACTTGATGCGTCTAGAATGAAACTTCTTCTTGGTAAGACAAGAACATGAATGATCTGATTCGCATTTGATTTGCAAGTCTGGTCGTTGACAAACCTTTGTCAGCTGTTTAGAACACTTCATATAATCATCAAAAAATTGTTTTTGAGAGCAGAGCTTTTCCAGAGCAAGAATAACAAACTGGTAAATTTCACCAAGAGAAGTAGAGCCAAGTTGTTTGTTCTGGGACTGCATAAGCTTGGTTGCTTCATGACTTAGGGATTCAGGAATTGATGCCAAAAAGGCTTGCTTCATATTAGGATCATCCATACCCCTAAGTATATGATATCGTTTTACCATTTCTTTGTAATGCTTGTCAAGATCTTTCTTTTTTAGAGAACAACATCGCATCTTGAAATATTCTTCTCTGACCTGATTCTCATAAAGGTGAGGTAATTCACAGAATTCATCATACAGAAGATACAGAGCTTGGTTAATATCTGGCATTTGGATGAACAAATTTTACGCCCGCGCGCATGCATCGACGCCAGCGCGCGCAAGCATCGACGCTCTATACTCCTGAAGACTTATCCACCAATCACGGAGAATGCCACCAAATCTAGCTGTAAACTGTGTAAGTACAGTAGAGACTTGGGCATTAGGTTTCAACATCTCAGCTTGTAACCAGGCCTGAAATTCATACATTCGAGTTCTCCATTTGTTTGGAAGAAGATCATCGACGGTAAAAGTGTGGAGCTTTGCTGAAGTTGTATAAGAGTCACGTTCAGCCAGAGTATGACGAGATTGTCGATACATAGGCGGAGAGTCTGGAATGGAATCATCACCTTCAGGCATCTCATCATCGACCTCAGAAACAACAGATGGTCTGGACAATTCAGGTTGATGGGTCATCAGTTGGGGATAAACATGAGGATGTTGATCACAAGTATCACTGTCAGAGTCAAAGTCACTTTCAAATGATTCATCAGTCGAAGGTATATCGGCTTCTGATTCTGTTTGGAAGGTAGATAAAGAATCCTGAGAAAGACCTGAGGCGGCAAGACGTTGCCTTTTTGCCATGTCTCTCAAAAAAGAGCTCATAAAATTGGAAGAGACGGGATTTTCTGAAGAGTTGGGATTAGCAGAAGGTTGGCAGTCTTCTATCATCATTATGTGCATTGGAGCTTTATCCTTAGATAAAGGACGATGAGGCTTAGGAGATGGAGGATCTGAGTGACTGGAAGAGAAAGAGTCAGGAATACCAGCGGATGTGGTCTGTGGTCTAGTAGAATACTTTTCTCGCTTCTTTTGGTCTCGGTCCAGCTTGATCTTTTCATCACGTTCTTTACGGAGCTTGGCATATAACTGTTCAGTGTTGCCAAAAGCTTGAACAGCACCAAAAGGTATATGAAGTGAGACCAACGGTTGGCTAATTTTTGGGAAAGGGGAAAAAGAGGGTTGTGGCCATGCTGTTGTGGAATCAAAAGGGTTTGGTACCAATGATATTCAGGGAAAGTTTGTGGTTGTCTGAGTTTTTGCTTAAGATATTCGTGCTGAAGCGATGCCATTTGGGTTTTTAATGACTTCATTTCTGCTTCCTTCTGGAGAAACTGAGCTGAATAGCCATGAGAGCTGCTGACAATGTGCATTAATTCCTGATGGAGCTAATCAATCCGGTTTTGGAGATGACCAATTTGTTTTTGTAGCCGAGAAATCAGCATAGTTTGGTTCTGAGACTGAGAGTCCACCTGATGAGCTACTAAATCCAGTTTTTGTTCAAGTCTGGTCATGGTTTTGTTTTGGGCTAAAGCATTTTCAGTCTGCCAATTGAGAACTGCTTCAGCTTGGGAGAGTTTAGGTGTGGATCCGTCAGACTGTATAGCTTTGGAAGGAACAACTCTTGGTTGTTGAGTGGCAGTTTCCTAAAAAGAAGGAAAATCTATAGCATAATTGAAATGTTGTCCTGTCTTTGAGGGCTCAGGGGATTGGATCATCATAACGGACTGAACAGGGGGAGTATGAGCAAGGGGTGAATGGTTTGGTTTATGTTCTTTTGCAATCCACCGCAGAGACTATTCATAACATGGTAAAGGTTGTTTGAAGTAAGGTGATTTGGCAGGTTTGGATAGTTTTAAAGGTGGTTTGGGTTGAGGTTTCGGAGGGCTGCCCCATGAGGGATTACAGGATGGTGAATCTTTTCCGGCTGGTGGAGAATATTTGACATAATAGTCAAATTTACTAGACGATTGACCAAGAAGACCAACTTCAGGATCATGTTCTTCAAATCAAGAATGAAGATCTGTCTGACTGCAACGAGCTTTCTTCTTTTTCTGGTTGGAATAGTTTCATCTTGGAAGATAATACTCATCGATTTCCCAAATAGGATTATCACGGCATTCCAAGCATTGGCAGTCAAGATCAAATGGAGTGTGACCAGTGACTGGATCATATTGATGATGGATAGGAGCACCAGATTGTTAAAAAGAATGAATGGAAAGTGTAGGTTCCCGTACTGCGGTAGTGGGTATGACCGGAGTAATCATGAATTGAGTTTGTCGAAAACTCAAAGGTGGAGCACTGGAGCTGCTGGAGACTTAAATCTGATAGTTGTTGTTCCGTCACTGTTATCATGCATGGTAGACTCTATAGAAACCACCGGAGTTTCTTTTTTGTGAAGAGACTCGTAACTCGTCACCCAAGAGTCGGGTAACAATTTAATCAAATCATCTCTAGAAATTTGCCTGGGAATATTGATGCAGTGAGGAGTATTCTAAGAGTCAACAGTAAGGAGCAGTGTATCAGTAGTCGTAGGGATAGCGAGATTAAGAGCATGGTCTTGGATTCGCCACATCATTTGATAATGCAAAGTAGCTGCAATACTTCCTGGATTTAAATCTACACCAACGATCTGTAATTGAACTTTAAGAGCCTTAGAGCAATGAACATCAGAAAGGGACATGTTGAAATTAGGAAACAGTGTCATAATGACTGTCCCAGCATTCAAAGTTGTCTGTGCTGTCCCTATACAAGCATGTTGATATTGGACAAATCTGGTGTCCAATAAAGCAATTCGAATAGAGACTGGGAGTCCTTTTCTGCCATGATAAGATAGAGCGAGCCGGATAGCGCCAAAGTGCACATGAGAGTATCCTTCACGGATCCATTAGGTAATGGATTCTTGAGGTATTTCCAAAGTAACATACTGTTCTTGGGATGTGGCTGGAATTTGACACTTGTCAAAAGTACTAGTCTGGACATACTCTTTGACTGACTTTCTGGAAGGACGGACAAGAGTTTTAAAGGTTTTAGACAAAGAAGATGAGGACTTGGAAAAGGCTGTATAAGGATTTACAATGGGAGGGATAGTGTCTTGGATTTTTTGATTTTCTAGGATATAAGATATTTCATACAAACTGTCTACCTTAGAAAAAGATCTAGATAAACTAGTATTTATGGGAGCAGTAAACATAGATAAAGCTGAAGAGGATTCCATGTGTGTAAGTTCAACCTCTTGGATGTGTAATATCATCTCAAATGATAAGGATAGCGCAAGACCCAAATATTACATATAAACAGAACTTAATAAACAGTGAAATAAAACATAACCAAAACTTAAAGGAGTCAATATTCGAGGGGAGGTAATCCGTGTGGTATCAGAGCCAAACCGCTTCCAGATTCCAATTTCTGCGTGTACGGAGGATTACCTTCCCTCAGATATTGGCTTCTTTAAGCTATATAATTTAGCGATAAAATTATTTTTATTATTTAATCGTATATATAATTTAAAATTATTTTTATTATTTAATCGTACACCAGATCCAGGAGATCTTTTAAAAAAAAAAAAAGTGTCGACATGCACAGTTTGTGTCCGTCTCTCTCTCTTCAAATCCTCGAAAATATCGTTGATCTACCGCAACTACTCTCAGACGGATCTCTCAATGCTGACCCTCTTCAACACATACACTTTCTCTCCGAAGCCAAAAAAAAAAAAAAGCACCAACTTTCATCAGCAGTAACATTGTATCATTCACTTCTTATAAATTTTGAAATTCAACGTCTCTTTTTGAAGCTACCGTCACTACTCTTTACAGGTACGGTTTCTCAACTCCCTTGAGAGTTAACAGTAATTGTTATAGATTATGAACATGGAGGTTCCGCTCTTGCGTTACCAGAGTATATCATTGGATCAGATTCAAAATAGTTGTAGATTCCCTTTCTCGTTTACGGATGATAAAAAGGTTTTCAAACATAAATCCTTGTTTTCTGGATATAGTTTTTCGTTGGATAGAAGAAAGTGGAAGATTCCGTTTCGTAGAATTAGATGCTCTTTAATGGAGCAAGGGTTAAAGCCACGACCCAAGCCAAATAAAGTCGATATTGAGGAATTAAAAGAGAGTAAAGTGCATGAGAACGAGGTCAAGAAACCCTGTGCAGGGCTTTGTAGTCAGATAGAGAAGTTAGTGTTGAACAAAAAGTATAGAGAAGCACTTGAACTATTTGAGATTTTGGAGTTAGAAGTTGGTTTTGATGTGGGCAGTAGCACCTATGATGCTTTAGTGAGTGCTTGTATAGGTTTAAAGTCTATTAGAGGTGTGAAGAGGGTATGTAATTACATGCTAAGTAACAGATTTGAACCTGATCTGTATTTGAGAAACAGGTTACTTCTTATGCATGTGAAATGCGGGATGATGATTGATGCGCGTAAATTGTTCGATGAGATGCCTGAGAGGAACTTGGTTACATGGAACATGCTAATTGTGGGGCTTATTGACTCTGGAGATTATATAGAGGCATTTGAGTTGTTTTTAATTATGTGGGAGGAGTTTTCCGATGGTGGTTCAAGAACTTTTGCCACAATGATTCGGGCATCTTCTGGATTAGGAGACATTTCTGTGGGAAAACAGTTGCATTCCTGTGCTGTTAAAATGGGTGTTGGTGATGATACTTTTGTGTGTTGTGCTTTGATTGATATGTATAGTAAATGTGGGAGCATTGCAGATGCTCAATTTGTTTTTGATGAGATGCCAGAGAAGATTACAGTAGCATGGAACACAATTATAGCAGGTTATGCACTTCATGGCTACAGTGAAGAAGCTCTGGATTTGTATTATGAGATGCGTGATTCTGGGGTTAAAATGGATCAATTTACATTTTCTATGATTATAAGAATTTGTGCGAGGTTGGCTTCTGTGGAACATGCTAAGCAAGCTCATGCAGGTCTAGTTCGTCACGGTTTTGGTTTAGATATAGTAGCAAACACGGCGCTTGTGGACTTCTATAGTAAATGGGGAAGAATAGAAGATGCTCGTCATGTTTTCAACAAGATGCCCTGCAAGAATGTCATTTCCTGGAATGCCTTGATTGGTGGTTATGGTAATCATGGTCGTGGAGAAGAGGCCGTTGAGCTGTTTGAACAAATGCTTCTTGAAGGAATGAGACCGAACCATGTGACATTTCTTGCTGTGTTATCCGCTTGTAGCCATTCAGGCTTGTCAGAACGTGGATGGGAAATTTTTCAATCAATGGGTAGGGATCACAAGATCAAGCCACGTGCAATGCATTATGCTTGTATGATCGAGTTATTGGGTCGAGAGGGGCTTTTAGATGAAGCCTTTGCCTTAATCAGAGGTGCTCCCTTTAAACCTACAGCAAATATGTGGGCTGCCTTGCTAACAGCTTGTCGAGTACATGGGAATTTAGAGCTGGGGAAGTTTGCAGCAGAGAAGCTTTATGGAATGGAACCTGAAAAGCTTTGTAATTATGTTGTGCTTCTAAATATATATAACAGTAGTGGTAAGTTAAAGGAAGCAGCCAATGTTGTGCAGACGTTAAGAAGAAAGGGTTTAAGAATGCTTCCTGCATGCAGTTGGATTGAAGTCAAGAAACAATCGCATGTTTTCTATTCCGGAGATAAATCCCACGTCCAAAAAAAGGAGATTTACCAGAAAGTTGATAGCTTGATGCGAGAAATTTCAAAACATGGGTATGTTCCAGAGGAGAAAACTTTGCTTCCTGATGTGGATGAACAGGAACAGCATGTGTTGCTGTACCACAGTGAGAAACTGGCTATAGCTTTTGGGCTGATAAACACTACAGATTGGACGCCGCTGCAAATTGTGCAGAGCCATCGAATTTGTTGTGACTGCCATAATGCAGTGAAGTTGATAGCTATGGTTACAGGACGGGAAATTGTCGTGAGGGATTCTAGCAGGTTCCACCATTTTAAAAATGGGATATGTTCATGTGGTGATTACTGGTGATGGTAAATTAGTTATTTAACTCAAGAGACTTACGATCTTCTTCCTTGTTGTTTGTATTCATTTAGTATCCTCCTCGGGTATACCATAGAAATAATGTAAGAATATGATCGGAAAATGATAGAGTTATCGAAAATTACACACTGAATCTATGCATCGAATGATGTGGTAAAATCTTGACCGTTGATTAATATTAACTTATAATGAATTAACGGTCAGGATTGTGTCACGTCATTCGGTGTACGAATTCGATGCGCATCCTTCAGTAACTATAGCATTACTCGAATATGATCTAGTTTGCGGTCATTCAATTTTGCGATCATTCAATTTGATGAATAAAAGAGCTTGAAAAATCATTTGTCAAAGGCCTTTCTAGCCAATAACCATTCGGTTGTTCTGAATTCCTTATTCGCCATGTGGCGCATGTCCCATGCCCACTGTCATTTACTCGACTTGAGCCAACGCAAAGAAGCTAGTTGTTGGGTCATGTCAGTTAGTAATAGGCGACAGAAATTGCAATACACATACAAATTTTATTAGTACAGGAATTAATAGAACTTGTAATATAGAAAAGGAAATCATACAAATATAATATACATTTTTTTCTCATTAACATTACTAATAAATTAATAGTTACATTAATGATTCAAGTAGTAAATGTATATAATGTGGATTTGAACCTCCTGCTCTTAATGGGGAGTTAAGAGTTCATGGCTACATTGAGGGGAAAATTAATAACCCCTTTCTCTCTATTTTTTTTTTTTCCGCTAAAAATATGGTTGTTAAACCTCCCAATTTAAAGATAATTACAAAACTATGCTTGTTATTTTATTAACTATAATTACAAAAGAATCAATTGGCCCTTACATCAAATCGTATTATATATTTATTTATGTATTTTTATTGTAGGGAGGAAAGGGCGGTCATTTGGGGTTGTATAAGAAAGAGCAAAGCCAGAGCGCAAGAAAGGGGGGATATGGAGCAAACACTATGGGGTCATTTGCCCTTACTGGTTAGGTCCAACTCTAAAGAATCAGTTGAGTACATTCTTCAAGCCCTCTGGAGGACCCGTAAGACTGGCCTCGACGCCGCCGACCGCCACGTCATCCGCGACATCCTTCAGCTTCAAAACGACTCCGACCTCGACCCAGTATGTATACTGTTTCAATTCACTCGTTCAAATTATAAATGATTATGATGTAAATTTTTTGAATCATTAGTATTAAATTTTCTATAAATTTCTTAGTTCTGTTGATTACTCAACTATTGTCCGATAATTGGTTGCATTAAACTTACTTTTTATTGGGTTGGGCAGCTTTTGGTATGCCTCAGGACTTTGATTCGAAGGTGTGTTTATGAGAATATTAGCAAGGATGAGATTCAGAAGCTTTTTCCCAGTGAGGTACTTCCTGAATTGCAAAGACTATTGACGCTTTTGTTGCAGAAATTTCAAAAAGAATGGCGTGAAGAGGTTCTCAAGGACCAGGTCAGAGTTCATTTATGCTATATGATCTCTTCTGGCTGGCTGGGTAGAGTGCAAGGATTGTAATGTGACATATTTGGATGAATTATGTTCAGGTTGTTTTGCCTCGGTTAAAAGCAATGACATGGGACATGGGGAACCATGAGTCCACAGAAGTGGCAGACCCTGTGGCTGTTATCAATTTGAAGGTATGGAACTAAACATTTCACTTTTAGTAGGCATGGCGAAAGGCAATTTTTAGATCAATATTATACCAAAGCTGTAAATTGTCGAAGTAAATAAATTCTATAGGGAAGGTTTTGGAAGAATAGTTTGAAAATTTTCCTAAAAGATCACAATGTAATCATGTGCCTGTGCAGCTCCAAAATGACGCCAAATCTCAGCCAGGAGAATCAGACGTGAAGTTCCGATTGGCCAAAGATACTTTAGATACAATGCTGAGATCCATGTACTGTATAAGAGATCAGTTGTCTAACATGGTATTTTGCTATTATTCCCTATATGTGTTACTAACTGCAGATATTGTTTCTCTACCCTCTTGCTTTATCTAACCAGTTTATTATTATTGTCAGGATGAAACATCAAACCTGCATTCACCACAAGAAACCAATACAGTGTAGTTTACCAGCATAATTCACATTGGAAGGTATGGTTTGGATCCTGAATCTATTTCACCTGTTGAGTCCATTTGGTGGTTACTCCTGCTCTGTAGAAGAAGCTCCCCAGAATTATTGAAGTCATTAACTATTTTTTATTTAATCTATTGGTTGTTGGGGGTTTTATCTCCCAACCAGGATCCAATTTGTTACCTCACTGGTCCAACCCATAAGGAATCGTGCATAATTTTTGCCATTTTTTCTTTTATGGAAGTGGGAATATGAATGACGGACAGATGGAGAGAAAGAAAGTTCACATTTGTATTGCATTATTATTCTTCAATGTGTTAGATTCACGGTTTTGCTTACAAATATGTTTATAGAGGGAATATTCTGAGCTGACGATAAGGGTCAGCTTTAAAGTGTCGGTCATGAATACTTGTGGAAGTAGATATTAGAAATGGGTATAATTTTTGGGCATATGATGGTTTACGATCACCAGTTTTTTCTTGAGGAAGATTAGATATAACACAGCTGCTGAAACTGTGAAGTATTTGCAATAAAAAGGATTTTTGTTTCTGGAAGTAATGATTGAGTGTTCAGACCGAAATGAATGCTACTTTTTCTTTTCTGTTGATGTATATGTTGCTCATAATTCATGAATTTATTATTTTCTTATTCACTTAAGAATGGAATGAAATGAAAATTTACATGACATATTAACACCTTGGTAGGTATCACTCAAGCACGTGTCATGTTTGCTCAATGTAACTGATTAGATATTGTCTAGAATGCCATATGGAAACACATCCATAGCAGCAGCACCATGAACGTGCAAGCAAAGTTTTAATTTTCTTTTATTTAGCCTATGGTCATACAACACTGTCATATTGCAGATTCAATGGTGCGGCCTTCATATCAGAAAGAAAAAGATTTGGTGTTACCTTGTTCAAGAGGCTTCATTTGAGCTGCAAAGCTGGGTTCAACTGAAGTTGACAGATAACCGGAGGACTTTGCTCCATTCAATACTCATGGCTGATCATGAACAATGACTTATGATTGACTCCAGAGAACGCGTATGGAGAATTTTATTCCATGTAAATTAGTCTTGCTTATCTATAATAGAAAGTATGAAAGCAACTTTTTTGCTTATAGATTTAAATTTCTATCATGAGGAAGGTAATTACGTCTTTCATAATGACATGTCAAAGTATTTATTAGAGAACCCTTGATTTTTCTACATATTTCTGCTTGCTAGCATAAGAATAAATTGAAATGTTAGGCCAATTTGACCTGTTCAAACTTTATTTAGACAATCATGAGAAAGATTTTTTTTAGGGGTGCACGACAAGTTCCCACCCAAGGTTTGCCCGAATGACAAATTCCCACCCTAAAAGTTTCAAAACGACAGTTTCTTTCCCATCCATCCAATTTTCCGTTAACTTAAACTTCTAAAGGATAGAATGGTAAATTAAGTTTTTTTTAATTTTTTATTTTCTTTTATAAATTTTGATAAACTGTTGCCAGTCACTGCCGCCTCCTCTTCCATAACCTCCGTAACCACCACCTGCTGGGGCCCGGTGCGATTCTGACGCGTCTTTTTTTAGGTAAAAGTTAATTATGAAAACAATAAAGAATTACAGAAAAAGGGCGAGAACCTTAAGTACCAACATCCTTGGACATGACCAAGGAATAAAGCTAGGATGCAACAACCATGGAGCAAACCAGCTGCTGCCTTGGCTGGACAGGAACAACCATAACCCCATCGAGAGGAGGCAAAGAACAGCCCAAAATAAAGTCGAGTATGATTACAAAACCCGGTTGCATCAACCGTAACAAACATGTACTGGCTTTGCTGGAAAAAATAGCAGCTCAAAACCCGCAAGGCACAAAACATGAAAAAAATCAAAAGGCCAGCCATAACCACCATTACAAGAAAAAGCTCCCCTGCCACTATTAAGATGCCAAATGTCGTAAACTAAAGCTACTACCAATACACTCATCCAGTTATCCCACTGCCACCTCAAATTACAAAAGACAAGCTGCACCTTCAAATACACTACTGCCTGGACAAGAAAAAACTTGTACATAATAACTTTGCAAATAAAGCAACACAAAAACAAATGTGCAGTGCCTATTCTGCAAGCAAGCCAAATCACAAAGTGCTTCACAATAATCCCCCAAACAATAATACTCATAACGCCCTCATTGGCCAGCATTAATACTCCTCTTCGCGTGAGCAAAACCCGACCCAAACACACCACCAAACTTCAATTCCTTCTCAACACAATCACCGCAACACACAACAATTATCAATCAAGAAAAATTGTATCAAAAAAGCTATCAAACAATCAATTCTTCTCTTAGTCAACTCCGCTTTAACTCAGTTTGGCCAAAAAATGAAAGCTTCTCAGCCGGACAGATCAAGTCGGCATGTGGCTCTTGCGCCGTGCCTTTAGCCAACACAAGGGCCTCAGGTGCCGACTAGATTTGGCCAGCAACAGCCACCGCCAGAGAGAGAGGAAAGATAAGAAGAGAAGAAAAGGAAAGGGAAAAGAGAAAAAGAAGGAAGAAAACAAAAGAGAAAGGGAAGAGAGAAAAAATAGGGAAAGCGGCCTGGTGCGATTGAGAGAGGAAAGAGGAGGAGAAAAATTAGGGATTTTGTTTTTTTAAGTTTATATACAGGCCATAAAATGACATGATTATCCTTTATTTGTATTTTGAAATTACTATTCTATCCTTCTGCAGTTAAAAAAAACGGAGAAATTGGATGGATGGGTGGGATACTGTCATTCTGAAACTTTTTGGGTGGGAACTTGTCACTAGGCCAAACCTTGGGTGGGAAGTTGTCGTTCACCCTTTTTTTAGTCATGAGATATTTTGGGCTATGGGCTGGCCCCTCGTTTCTTCCTATAATCCCTGTTGCTAGGAAAAGTCATGCCCTTCCCAAACTGGAAATTTTTCTAATGGCCTCTGTAGATTACGAAATACCATTTCGCATGGGGCACATAGTTTTTGAGTAGCGACTATTCATTTTGACATGAAGAGACAATCGCCCTTTGCCGAATCTTTTGCAAAAGAATGTTGATATGAAATCAAGTTGGTTGAAATTTTTTGGAATTTAGAAGCACAAAAGGCGGCTTCTTGTGTATTTCAGAGACAACCAAGAAGTTGATGGTTCCGTCAATTGTGGACTCATTGAGAACGTTCCTTACAGAAAGGACATTATAATTTATAAGAGCTTTTTACTGACTGTATCAGTATGTCATGACTCTTGAATCCACAAATCTAATTTCAAATTACAACACTTTCACATTATGACTGATTGAAGTTTGACAATAAATAGATAAATAAATCAAAGTTTCACACCAAGTTTTTTTTTTTTTTTTTTTTAAGCATCCCAATTGATGGTCTACAAAGTTAGGTGAGACCAATGGCTTTGGGGAAATCAAATGCATCACGACTAACAGCTATTTGTATTTTCTATGGCTCGAGGTGGACAAGAGTTTTAAAGGTTTTAGACAAAGAAGACGTAGACTTTGAAAAGGCGGTGTAAGGATTTACAATGGGAGGGATAGTGTCTTGGATTTTTTGATTTTCTGGGATATAAGATATTTCATACAGACTGTCTACTTTAGAAGAAGATCTAGATAAACTAGTATTTATGGGAGCAGTAAACGTAGATAAAGCTGAAGAATATTCCATGTACTTAAATTCAACCTCTTGGATGTGTAATATCACCTCAAATGGTAAAGATAACGCAAGACCCGAAGATTACATAAAAACATAATTTAATATACAGGGAAATAAAACATAACATAGGAAATAGAGAAAGAAAACATAACCAAAACTTAAAGGAGCCAATATCCGAGGGGAGGTAATCCTCCGCACACGCAGAAATTGGAACCAATAAGTAACTTAAAGAAGCCAATATCCGAGGGGAGGTAATCCTCCGCACACGCAGAAATTGGAATCAATAAGGGGTTTGGCTCTGATACCACAAGGGTTACTATTTCTAAGTCATATCAAGAAAGATTTTAAAACCCGGTCCGGTCGATTTAATCGGTTCGATAAAAAATCGGTGGTTTAACCGAGCCGGTTAAGGTAAAAAACCGAGAATGAGAATCACTTGCTTTAACCCGCGGTTGGACCGGTGTTACTGTAGCGACCACCGCTTTTGTCAACTCAAATTCCTACGTTCAAGATTCAAATCCCTTTTACAATTTTCAATTAAAGACATGAGGCTAATCAACCCAAAAAAATAATACTAATCAACGAAGCCACTAGAAGAAGAGAGAATCCAACTCGAAGAAGAGGAGAAAAAGCAAGTGAGAGGAGTTGAAACCCTAGGCCGTTGCTGCTACGGTGGCGATGGTGGTGGAGAATGGTGGAGGTGCATATAACAGTGGCGGCACACCGCTAAGAAGAGAGAAGAAAATGAGGATTTTGTCAAAAAGGAAGAGTGAATGTGTTTGTGTGTTTTGGTGTAGAAGGCATGCACCTTTTGATGAGAGGAAAGCTGAAGAATCGGAAGAGCTTTAATAATTAAAACAGAAGAAATGAAAGAGTAAAGAAAAACAAAGAGAGTTGGAAAAAGAAGTTGTTGAAGCTTTCTCTCTCCTCTTCTTCGTTCCTGCAATCTTAAGATGGAAGAGAAAGAGATTGAAAATAAATAATTTAATTTAATAAATAAAGAAGGTGTACTTATATTACATTTAATGAGCTTTCATTGAAAATAAAAAACAAATATTACATGTCCTTGAAAAAGATGAAGAGTGTACTGTATTGCATTTAATGAAAAATAAATAAAAAGTTGTTTGTTGGTGGACTATATTTATTTTGAGTAAGAATATAGTGTGAAGTAGAGCTGGGCAAAACTCGGTCCTGGTCCTTGAGAGGACTGGTCTTAGGAAGTCTAGTCCCAAAATTAGATCAGCCAAAGGAGGAGGGCCCGGACTCTCCTTTGGGCCCTCCTCCAAGGCTCGGGTCTGGGCTCAAATTTTTTTTATATTTTATTCTTTTAATTCTCTGTAAAATTATATTAAACCCTTTATTAATTTTAAATAAGTATAAATTATAAGGGTTAAAATGAAATTTTATAAAATTTATTAAAAAAAAAAGGTTTTTTAACTTTTTATAATCGTTGGCTGCCAACGGTCACAGCAGAGCAGCCAACGGTTATAATTATATTATTAATTATAAGTTTTTTTTTTCATTTTTCCCCCCATAACTACACTATAAATAACCCTAAAATCTTTTATTTTTTTCACACCAATAAAATCTCTCATTCTTTCATTCTCTCAATCTCTCTACTCCAAATCTCCAATCAATTTCTCATTCAATTTATATTTATAATTTATTCATATTATTTATTTATATTATTCAAATTTTTTTATATTTTTCAATATCATCATAATTTCATATTATTATTTAATTTCTTTTCATTTTAATTATTTATTATTTTATCATAAATTTATTATGTCTTCCCCAAATGAGTTTTACGTTCCATCCACCGAAGAAATTGAAGGCTTCAATCCATTTTCACCATTTCCTCCAGAGGATGCAGCTGTAATTCCACAACCACATTCGGCCGGGACGAGGTGTAGCCAAACACATGTGAGCTGCGAGTCAACGGGCACGGACATAGCCCAACCCCCCCGACCGTCAAAGAGGGTCGTGTCCGATGTCTGGCGATACTTCACCAAATCAAAACGGCCAAAGACAAATGGGGAGGGGGAAGAATCGTGTGGGATATGTAATTTATGTGGAACCATTATTGGGGCTGAGAAGGGGACTTCGACGATGCGACGACACGTAGAGAAGAAGCATCCCCAAATAAATGCATCTTCAAGCGGATCAGGTAGACAAATTCAAACTCAACTTAATTTTAATCCACAATCCTCAACTCTCTCAACATGGCAATACAATACACATGTTGCACGAGAGGAAATAGCAAGATATATAGTTGCTACAGACTCTCCCATTTGTTTATCTGAAAATCCTTTTTTTGTTAATATGGTTAAAACTGCATTTTGTCCAGCATATACCCCTGTTAGTAGAACTACAAGTAGAAGAGATATACTAAAACTTTATAACAAAATAAATAATAAACTTAAAAACGAATTTCAAAATTTTAGGAATATATCTATTGCACTTACATCAGACATATGGGCTTGTAGATCAAAAACCGATTTTTTAACTGTTACAGTACATTTCTTAGATCATAATTGGGGTTTACAACAAAAATTGATAGGTTTTAAACCATTATATGAAAAACA